CTGTAGAGGGACTCAGGACGAATTTGAATGATTTACATCTTTTAGTCCAAGATTTTAAACCGTCAGTATTCTGCTTACAAGAGACATATCTAAAGCAGACTGATCATTTTGACTTACGTCAGTATAATGCATATCATTGTTTTTCTCCTATGGGCGATAGAGCCACTGGAGGATCTTCAATCATTGTTCGGAATGATGTAATCCACAGCCGGTTGTACTTAAAACAAGTCTCCAGGCCGTTGCAGTAAGACTTACTTTGCATGTTGCAGTTACTCTTTGCTCTCTGTACATTTCGCCTTCATCATCTGTTCAGCAGGTGGATCTTCAGGCTCTGTATGATGAACTCCCTAAACCTTGTATAATCATGGGTGATTTAAATGGGCACAATCCACTCTGGGGCAGCACTAATACAAACACCAAAGGTAAATTACTGGAGGATTTCATCTCAAATAATGATTTATGCATTTACAATGACGGTTCAACTACCTATTTACATCCTGGCACAGGAACATATTCAGCTCTTGATTTATCTATTACTGACTCCAACCTATTGAGTGAATTCGAATGGTCAGTCCACGACGACCTTTGTAGGAAGTGACCATTTCCCAACGATACTAACACCTGTGAATCCATCTGACGTTCCTCCATCATCGAGATGGAATTTTAAAAAGGCTAACTGGCCTTTATATGAAACTCTCTGTCGTGACAAACTTAGGCCTGAACTTTTTAATGATGTTCCTGATGCCATAAAATGTTTTTCGGATGAACTAAATAATATAGCTGACGAGTGTATCCCAAAGTCCTCTGCAATTCCTCATGTACGAAAACCATGGTTTACCAATGATTGCAAACAGGCTAGGAAGGCACGGAAGAAAGCCGAGCACTATTTCCGTCGCCATCCTATGGTCCACAATTTGGACAAATATAAAATGTTAAACGCCAAAGCACGACGTACTTTCAAGCAAAGTAAACGCTTATCTTGGCGAAACTATATATCAAAAATTAATTCTCGCACACCTATATCCAAGGTGTGGAATATGATCAGAAAATCAAGGGTAAGGGCTCTAAGTCTAGCATACACCATCTCAAAGATGGGAACGAGTTACTTACTAATAAATCTGATATTGCTAATAAACTTGGTGAGACGTTGGCCAAACATTCTTCCTCGGCAAATTATGTACCTGAATTCCAAAAATATCAAAAACAGCAAGAAAAGAAAGCTATTAATTTTAATTCAGATAATGGGGAAGACTACAATGAAACCTTTTCGATACATGAGCTTCATACTGCTCTTGATCAGGCTCACGATACTGCCTCTGGAGCTGATAACATACATTATCAACTCCTGAAGCGCTGCCAGAGTCATGTTTGGAGACACTGTTACATATTTTTTGATGATATTTGGACAACTGGAAATTTCCCTTCGTCGTGGCGTGATGCTATCGTTGTGCCCATCCCTAAGCCTGGACGTGATCATACTGATCCTTCCAATTATAGGTAATTTCACTAACTAGTTGTGTTTGCAAGACCATGGAACGCATGATAAATAATCGACTTGTTTGGTACCTGGAAACCAATAACTTAATAACAGATATACAATGTGGTTTCCGTAAAAACCGTAGTACCATCGATCATTTAGTGCGTTTAGAATCTTTTGTAAAAAATGCCATAATTAATAAACAACATGCAGTGTCAATCTTTTTTGATTTAGAAAAAGCATATGACACTACATGGAAACATGGTATTTTAAGAGATTTACACGATTTTGGATTGAGAGGCCGTTTGCCTCAATTTATATCCAAGTTTTTAGCTGACAGGCAATTTCAAGTCCGAGTGGGTTCTACCCTGTCTGACCATTATAATCAGGATCAGGGTGTCCCACAAGGCAGTATTTTGTCTGTCACACTTTTTAGCATCAAAATTAACAGTTTATCCAGGGTTTTAAACGATTCAATTGATGGATCACTTTTTGTGGATGATTTTAATATTTCTTGTCGTGGTAAGAATATGCATACTATTGAACGGCAACTGCAGCTGTGTTTAAATAAAATACATAAATGGTGTCTTGAAAACGGTTTTAAATTTTCCAAGTCCAAAACTAATTGTCTACACTTTTGTAGAAAATATAAGCCGCATAAAGACCCGGAACTATCTCTAAATGGCACTCCTATCAAAGTTGTGAAGGAGGCCAAGTTCTTGGGTATTATTTTTGACTCACACTTAACGTTTCTACCACATATTAAAACACTTAAAACTAAATGCCTGAAGGCACTCGATTTGTTAAAAGTTGTTTCCAACTCAAAGTGGGGAGGGGATCAAACTACGCTCCTTCACTTATACCGAGCATTGGTACGATCTAAACTTGATTATGGTTCCATCGTATATGGCGGAGCCTGCAAAAAGCAACCTTAAATTACTTGATTCTGTTCACCACCAAGGTCTAAGACTTTGTCTTGGATCATTTAGAACCTCTCCAGTTGATAGTCTCTATGCTGAGGCAGATGAGCCTTCGCTTTTCCAACGCCGTATTAAATTATCCTTACAATATATTACTAAACTATATTCAAACAAATCTAATCCTGCATTTAATTGTGTCTTCAATCCTCTTTATGAGGATTTGTATAACAAAAGCCTTCTCTTGTTCCTTACTCTTGGGCACAGAATTAAACCATTCCTATCTGCTGCTGGCATAGAAGCTGGAGAATATATCTCCTTCTCGTCTTCTTTCTTCTCCTCCCTGGCAATTGGTGAGGCCAGAAGTTGACTTAACATTAACCACATTTAAAAATCCGAAACTAATGATTTACAATATAAACAAGAATTTAGTCAATTAAGAAACAAATATAATACCTATAAATCCTTATATACAGATGGATCCAAGGATGGTGGCGCGGTTGCTTGTGCCACTGTCATTGGGTCCAAAACAATATCTTCCAGACTACCCAATGACAGTTCAATTTTCACCGCAGAAGCAAACGCAATACTAACAGCTCTTAAATATATTAATAAACACCGTAAATATAAACAATATATAATATTATCTGACTCTCTTTCTTGCCTTCAGGCAATTAAAAAATCTCTTGCAAACATCCACTTTTTAATTGAAATAATCGAATTATATAATGATCTTGCTACTGGCCAATGCGACATCGTCTTTTGTTGGTTACCCAGCCACGTTGGCATTTCTGGGAACACAATGGCTGATCTTGCTGCCAAGACAGCCCTCAACAAATCTGTAACACCACTTCTTATTCCATATTCTGATTACAAAGCTGCTATAAGATCTTATATTCGTGATCTGATGCAAAAGAAGTGGGACACCCAAGTAGGTATCAATAAATTACATGCAATAAAACCCTATATCGGTTGCACTTACTTGGGTTGTCAGTCCAGATTTGCAGAGGTCATCATACGACGATGTCGTATTGGCCACACAAGATACACTCACGAGTACCTATTAAAAAGTGAGGATCCTCCGTTTTGTATCCCTTGTGATGAACGAATCACGGTCAAGCATGTCTTGCTTGACTGTGTTGAGTACTTCTCACTCTCACTCTCATCATCATCATCATCAGCAGCAGCAGCAGCAGCATCATCTTCGTCACTACCATCGTCGGCAGGTATGATAGATTCAGTGTCGCTTTCAGCTTCAGGCATATCCATGCGAGTTAGAATGTCCTTCATGATGGTTTTCATGAAACGGGTTATCTTGTTTTTGATGATAGATTGATCAGTGCCAGGATCCATATCGTTCAGGCTGTCTCGAATGGACTGAAATAGAGGTGCCTGTTTAAAGTATTGGGTGAACTCTATGACACTGGTAAGGCTGTCAGCCAATTCATGTTCCCACATCTGTTTCATTTTTTGGTACATCCATTCATGTGTACGATCACCTTGTTTTCTGTACTTTTTCCTCTTAAGTTTCATCAGGTCACGTTTGTTGTTGTACACACGATTCCAGATGCGTTGTAAACCCACATTTTGCCAGTCTTCAACTCCCATGTCAGTGCTTGATGGCTTCCCACAACGACGATGTTTGAAAGCAAGACCTCCACCTTTCAGGTCCTCATCATCACTGCTGTCGTCAGTCTCATATCTGAGACGTTTCCTCTTGAATTTCAAACTGTCATTTGCTGGACACCATGATCTGATATGTCGTTGTAGATCATGCATATTGTCTATCAATACACCACAGTCAGTACACGCAGTGGCCATGGTGAGAGGTCCTGTGTCGTCACTCGAGATGGATACTGTTTCAACGTCACAGCTAAGAGACTGTTCTTTGGAAGTGTGATCAGCACAAACGTCAGGAGCTGTCTGAACATCTAATGCTGCCGATAGATCTTTTATCTGTTGTTGTTGTTGTTTTTGTTGTTGTCATAAAGCACTCTGGTCAGATTTATTGTAGCTGGTTGTCAAGATATTGAAATGCAGTCTATTCTTCTCACTCGTGTCAGGTTTTAGATCCACTGTGAGGTGTCCATAAGGTGTTTCAACAGCCCTTTCATAAAGAGTCATGAATCTACTTATGTCGTCAGGAAATATTCTTCTGGCAAATACCTTCACCTGCTGTCTGTCCACAGGTGAATTAAAAATCGTTACATAATGAGAATTTAGGGCAATGTCACGAGATTCCCTACCTCTGGGGAAGAGGTTTTGCAATAACAAAAAGATAATGACATTTTTATGGTGGGAGGTTTGGGTAAACAGACGAGAAATTCGCTTGTCATTCTTTGCTTCAGACAAAAAATCATCCAACACCATCATGTTCTGGTTGTGGGCATCGAAGTAGTTTTCATCTTCGAGATTGTAAGGTATTCCTTTAACAAACCATACTTGGGGTAAAGTTTGAAGAATGTTATCGTAAAGAGGTTGCCACACGGTATAACACCACACAATACAATCAGGCAGAGGTTGAATGAATCCATGTCGTAATAGGTTGAAGACAAACACTGACTTTCCGCATCCACTGGGTCCGACAATGATGCCATTGGAAGGAATCAGAAATCTGAATCGGTCATGCTGCTTGTGCTCCTCTCCAGGAGGAGGAGGAGGAGGAGGAGGCGTTTATCCAGAGGAAGAGGAAGTTGCTTATCTGCAGGAGGAGGAGGAGGAGGAGATAAGTTTCGAGTTGATCCATGCATCTGCTTCTGATGTCTCTGTAGATTATCTTTTCGTGTAAACCTCTTGTCACAGTCTGGACAAGTGGTAGTAACCTCCATGGTGGTTAAACACAAGTGTGGCATTACAGGGTCTGAAGCATTCTTTTATTCCCTTCAGACATGTGTCGCTTCAAGGTCGATTGGGTTCGTTTCACAACAGCCTTTATCTTCGACATGGGTTGTAGTTTCAATACAATCTGTTTTTCCCCTTTAGAGCTGTGCTTCTTTTTTGTCTGGCTAGATGTAACCTGTCGCTTTAGCGATCTCTTTGGTGCCTTTGGTTTTCTCTGATGTGTTTTTGTTGACTTGGACTTGAAAATGGCTGTAGGGCCAAATATATCCTGTGAAGCTCTCATCATGTTGAAAGATGACGTCTTACCCATCAGCAGGCAAGAGTGAAAATGCAAGTCAGTCGGCACTACAGTGGAGTTTTATTCTACTTTCTTACCATCATGCAAGACATTTACAAATGACAAGAAAAGGTATTTTATACACTTATACAAGTTTTTATTGCGGTTCAATCTATGTGTGATTCATTTATGTAATGAACAGGGTATACACCACACTGAAAACAGATACTAATATTTCGTCTTAGAGATACAAGGTAGACATGATTCAGTGCAATATCTGAAGTAGTTACAAATAAATGCGGAAACATATTCATCATTGAACACATGATCATTCATATCAAATTGCTGTACAATATAATTCATTCGTAAATTTGCTTTGAATTTACATAAAAGATAGTACAATGTAAACAGACCACACATATTCGATTTGGAAGATTGTAATTGTCTTGTATTGCGAGTGTAGCAGCTACTATTTTCATACTTCATATAGTGATCAAATACCCTATCAACGGGCTGCTCCGCCAAACTGTCAAAACATTCGGTTTGGCTCCCTTTGAAAAACATCGCAATCCAGTGACGACCCTCGTGTAAACGGTTCTCGGTGTTGACAATTAGTCCAACGCCTTTAGCACGCATGCTCGGCGTGAGCATAGGTAAAGTGTCTTTAGCAAAAACACCTAGGACACGAGATCGTAAACTCGGGTCGCATCGTACGGCACATCGAAGCTGTGAAGCTTTCATTATCATCTGGTGATTACTTGACAAACACGTTGCGGGCTTGGTCGATTTCGATTTCTGAGTCAAGACGACGCAACTCAGCGTGCTGGTGAGCGCCGACTTGAATTCCAGTTCGAGCCTCACGCTTCCCGATTTCACCAAGTTCAGGTACTCTGACTCAGCGCACATTGTGTCGATGTCGAAGACGAACAAGGCATTCCCCAGGAGAAATTCGCTTCTGGTGATGGCATTGCCCTTGTCTTCCTTCCACAGTCCCATGCCATCGAGCATGTTGACGTAAGAGGCGACATCGTCCGCTTCGGCGGGTTGACCCGGCACACTGACTCCGTCGATGTACAGCGTTATCTTTTTAAGCATGGACGACTTGAAATTATAGGGATTGCCGGTGTAGCTGCCGTTCAGACTCGAACTTTCCACCAGTCCCACGACGTATCGGTTGGCGACAGGATTGCTGACGTTGTCTATGGCGTGCGTCTGCTGAGTGGTCGGGATGCTGGTCACCTTGACTTCGCTTTTGGTGTACGGGTAGAGAGCGTTCGATTTTTCGAAAAGTGTGTTGTGAGCCAAGATCAAGGCGGGGTTGACTTTGACCTTGCACACCTGCAGATAAGCGTCCAAGAGTTGAACTTTGAATTCATGCTCAGTCACGTTGCTCATCAAACAAAATTTGGGTTCCGATCTGAACATTTTCAAAGTCAGGTCCACGTCGTTGGGGAGGAGCCGGTTCATGTCGAAGATGTCCTCGTACACGGGCCCCGACATGGTGAGTTCTTTGCTTTGCGCTATGAAAGTGCCACGTAATGACATTCCTGAATTGACAGATCCGTGACGTTACTGCTTTCCAGATCCACGTCGCTCTCGGCATAATCCTTGGTGAACAGCTGCGTCATCAACTGAGTGTTTTTCGCTTCCGCACCATATCCCAGCAGGGCCCTCATCATGCTCTTGTAGGCGTAATGGTTGTTGGTACTGGACACGATCTGGTTCTGCAGGTAGACCGTGACCTGGGAGAACAGCGACTGCATAAACAAGTTCACCGGAGCGACATTTTCGTCCTCGGCCAAGGCCGTGCCATCGGTCTGCGTTACTTTGACTTTGACGTGCAAACGGGTGCGTCTCAGATCGGTGTAGTCGGGGCCTGAGTTGTTCACTTGAAACTCCAACGGGGCAGCATCGTTGATTTGGCTTAAAGGTCGCACATTCACAAAATAATGTTTCTGTATGCTAGTCTGATAAGGAGGTAGCGTGAACAGATTGAGGCACTCTGGAACGAGTTCTCTTCGAATTCTTTATCATTGATGAGTGACATGTCGGCTCTATGTTCCTATATGGACGTCTTTAACTGAAGATATCGTTTTCTTGCACAGGAGTACACTGGAGCGCTTTGGCCGTCTTGGAAGGTGCAGCGTTGTTGCCGGTTCGGCGAATCTTCTTCGTTGTGACGCACCTTTCGCCCGCCTTGCGTTTTAAAGCCTTCTGTCTTTTGTCTTTGGGTCCCCCTCTCTCTACCTCACTTTACGATTCTGACGTCATTTGCAATGTGACTTTGGTTGGGTCTCATTGTTGTTGTTTTTCCTGCTTGACAAGCCGGGATCACCAGCTTTTTGCTTTCCCATGGAGCAGATGAGATGTTTTCCTCACGTGTTTGTTGTCGAAATAATGTTTAAACTTAGCGTAGTCTGGGAAATAAAGTGGACGTGAATCCGTGCTTTTTACTCCACAAAAGGATAACGTCTTAAATGAAGTGTAGCGGTGGTCTCTTCCGTTGAGAATGAAGCTGTAGAGGCATTTTCCGACTTTAAATACAATTCGATATTCTCGGTGTCTTTCAATTTGACACGAATGTTAAATTCAGTACCAAATGTGTAGGTAGGTCCCTGTCTCAAGTCGATGCGTCTCAATAAAGCCAGTTGAGTTTCGCCCGCCAATGAACTATCGCACAGGTTACACAACACGTCTATGTATGGATCCGTGACTTTAGACAGATCCACCTTTCCAAAGTTCAGCTCCGTTAAGGACACCACCCAGAATCCGTCGAAGACTAACCTTTGATTTAGTTTGACACGAAAATGATAAGGCGTATTCTCTGGAAACGATGTCTTTTTGGAGTCAGAGCTTTTGAGAAACACATACTTCTCCATATTTATTACACTTCTTTCAATTCGCTTTCTTCCACGTACGAGTCGAATGACTTAGGCCAGCCGACCCATCGCACCAGAGCGTATGTCTTCCCTTTGACTTTTTTCCTTTTAAGCACTTTCTCGACTTGCCAGAGCACATCCGCTGCTTTGCTAACCTTTTGAAGCTCGTTTGTGTAAAAAGACCCTATCAAGGGTTCGTCGTGAAAATCTTTGAGTTTGTACTGAGGAAACCCCTGTTTCCTGTAACGTCGAGCCACTTTGAAAAGCTCCTCCGTCCACTTGAGGTCGAGTTCCTTGCTGAAAGGTTTCCTGAGGTATGAGATGCGAACCAGATCACCTACTTTAAATAAGTATTTCTTGATTTTAGGTTTGCTGACTTTTCTCAAAGGTTCCAGGTAGATATGGTTCCACACTTTCACTTCGTTGGTTTTATTGACAGGTGCCGGAGAGAGTTGGGGTAAAGACGAATGCAGGGTATGATTATAATTGTACACTAAATCTGGTAGAGCATTCAGATAACGTTTGGTATTATTATGGGTCATGTATCGCGTGATCAGGGATTTCAGTTTTCTGTTAAAACGTTCCACATAATTACTTTTTATGTTTTCATTGCGAGCTATACTGAGTTTTATCTTTTGTTTCTGTAAAAACGTCTTGAACACACCCTTAAATTCACTTCTGGCATCTACTCGCACTTTCCTAGGACGTCGTTGCTTGAGGATTTGTTTGAAAGCCGTCAAGACAGATTCGGGCTTTTTGTTTGACAGAGGAAACACAAACGCAAACCTACTTAGTATGTCAATACCCACAAGCAAATAACGTACACCCTGATTCTCTTTGCTGTACCGTGAAAGATCGGCAAGGTCTAAGTCAAACATCTCATTGACAGAATTAACCCTGACTCTCATGCGTTGGAATTTATGCCTGACTGGTTTGTGTAAACTGTAAGCATCTTGGTTCTTGACAAACCACTTCACCTTCCTGAGTTTAACCTCAGGTGGTCTATTCGCTTTTAACTCATCACGCAGTTTGGAGGGTCCATAATAAGCCCCCGGTTTGGTGGGGTTAAAATAATACTCTGATAATGCTTTCTCGTGCTTCTTTAAGGATGTCTTGTTCCTCTGTTGAGAACTCATGATGTACTGTGACAAGACATGGCAAATGGGTAAATATATATGAATATATGTAATCATATATAACACAACAACAAAGACTATACATATGTAATTTATTGACTCTTAAGCAGTCTATTGCTACACAGAAGACACACGTCATTTTGAAAGTCTTTACACATAGGAAGTTTCATTTGTATCAACATTTGTCTGTTTTAAATCTATTTTCCAAAAATAACATCTTAAGAACATGTGATTTCAAATCATGAACCCATTCCATGGTTTTAAACTGTGAGTCACGATAATCTTTACATTGATAGGGAATCAAACTGAAAGCAGTTACTGCGTTCAAGGATGACTCATCAGTCAACAAGTTCATCCATCTGTCAATCACGCGATCATCGTTCACCTCGGTCATGGCGGCGTTTAAGTATTTGTCACTTGCTCCTGTTCTGACAGGTCACGACAAGTATGAACTTGTTCTTCATCAAACATACAACCAAAACACAGTTCCCACGAAAGTCGTCTCACGATTTTAGTGACTTCGAAAGTATAACACAAAGTCAGAAGTCCCTCGGCATGTTTTAGTTGATTCACCATGGCTACTTCGTCTGCACACACAGGCACTCTCCTGGACTTTTTGATGATCACTCGTTGGGCAGCTTTGTGTTCATCTTGAAATTTTCTCTTGGCATCTTTCACACATTCATCTCGGTCTTGAAACCATTCATCGGATTGCGTAATGATGGAGTCTTTCAGACTGTGTGGCTCTCTCATCACTTGCTTCCAGGTGTAGAAGGTTGCACGGTCGTCTGACGTCCTGTTTATATATATATAAAATAAACAATGCCATTCACTGATGCTGAGAAATTAGTTCATGAGCAAAAATAAACCTCTCCCCCACCATGAATACCTTTCTTCATCAGTTTCCCAATTTTATATCATTTTTTCTTCAATTCTCACAGGATAATGTTGACTAAGTGATCATAGTTTGGTGTAAAAGAATACGAACCGTTCTGTGCTTCTTGTTCCCATGGTATCTGCGCAGTATGTGTTGACTGGTACACAAGATGCGAGAGCTAGACGAACACTGGTCTTCCGCCGACTGGATCTTCTCATTTTCATGAACAGTAACCTCCTCTGATTGGTTTATTTCAAAAGTAAATAGACATGCCATGGGAGTGGTTGAACTATATTTCACACTGATTGTGACAAGCGCGACTTGATTTTAGGGTTAGGTAGTAGATACCCAAGCTTCTACTTAACAATGCTATCCATATATTTAAATTTCCTCTATCCAAGGATAAGTTAACAATGCAAGTAATCACAACGATATAGATAATAAAAATTTGAGAAAAAAATACAGTTTCTGTCTTCGCTAAGCTTCTTCCAAATAGTCTCCAGGACTCTAGAGCTAGTCCTATCGAGAGGCTGTGCCTCTACGGTGTCTTCCATTCTTATGAAACCATGACCCATGGTTTACTGCTTTATATTTTACCGTTGCATGGTGTCAGATATGTAACCCGGGAATTACATTTATTGGAACTTATTCTTCTTATATGTATAGATACCTTGGCTCAAAGTAATTGAGAAACCCTTTCAATCTATTATCCATGAAAAAAGGGGTGACGGGTGGTAGCTGCTAGTGATTGAGTATCATACAGTTGCTAACACAAAGTCGGACGTATTCTTAACAAAACAATAATTCTGACGCAATATGATTAATTGATCAACCCAATCTATCTATCTCCATCTACAATGAATACATGTCATGCCCATAAAACTACTAAGTTATCTGAAAACACACACACAGTCGACTATCACAGAATTCAATAGTGTTCTCCACATCATGAATATGCTTCTGGAAAACAATTATTGTTATGCTTCTACAAATCGATCACAACAATTTGCTAGTGTTTTTTTTACATCATACATTCACAACACAAAGGCTGACATATGTACACATATAATATGACATATTCTAATGATATTTTAACACAATGTAATGTATATCTTTGGATTTCATATGAAAATAATTACACACACACACACACACACACACACACAAAATAAATGAACGGGCTCAACAAAATGAACTTGTTCCCACCTTCTCGGTTTGTTTGTTTTGTTTTTTAGATGAGGCAGGGTTTGAAGGCTCTGGGGGTCAATCATTATTGTGATTTACCTCTTAATGAGGCATGTATCACCTCTCCCTCGACATACCATAAACAAACACAGAACAAGGTTCTATCATTTCCATATGTTTACATGTTATGAGGGAAAGATTACTTCATTAGTGTTATCAGACAGTTTAAAAATTCCATTTATGATGTAAATATTAAATGTACTTAGCATTATGCGGTGACGGAAATGTTATGATTCCCACTTGACTTCATTGTAACGCACAGAGGAGAGGTTTCTGCCTAAAGGTCCTTACACTCATGCTGGACGTCTTATAGCGAGGGAAGGGGTCACATATGGAAAACGTTATTGGAAGTGCCTGTAAACA